AACGGTCTACTGAGTATGGTAGAACCGGGCAGTGGCGGCACACAGCGACTCCTGACTCTCCGCCTAAATACCACAGATGGCCCTGTTACCCTTGTCAGCGTGTACGCACTAAATCTGTCCTCAACTCCAGATGCAAAGGACGAGTTCTATGACAACCTGGCATCCATCAACAGGGACATCCCCATCCATTAACATCTTCTTCTCCTTCTTCAATGCTAAAGTGGGCGCAGATCATGTCACATGGCCTTCCTGCCTCGGCCAGTTCGGTGTGGGCAGGATGAACGAAAATGGACAGCGTTTGCTCGAGTTGTGCACTTACCATGAACTGTGCATCACAAACTCCTATTTCAAAACCAAACCGCAACACAAGGTCTCTTCGAGACACCCTTGCTCTAAACACTAGCATTAACTGGATTTTATCCTAACCAGAAGAACCGCCATCAAGAATGTTCTTCACACACGCTCTTACCACAGCGCAGACTGTGACACAGACCATTAATTGGTCTATATTGCAGGATCAGGACTGTAGCCGAGGAGATTCCACCGAGCTAAAAAACAGGGAAAGCCTCGCATCGACACATTCAGGATGTCTAAGCCGGACCTTGTGGAACAGTTTACTGAGGCCCTTGAACAAGAACTTGGCATCTCACAGCCTGGAGAATGTGCTACAAAGAAATGGACAGTTCGTGATACCATGCACCGCACAGCCTTAGTCCCAATACTGGTTCGAGGCTAAGTCCACAGAGATGATTCCCGTCATTGAAGCCATGCAAGCGTGCTGCTCTTATGGAATACAAACGGGTGACTAGTGAGATCGAGAAATGACTGCGAGAAGAAGAGCCCAGCACACTGCCAGATTCTGTGACAACGAATACTGGACGGAGCTGAGTGTGATTATCCAGACGGCTGCTGCAACATGAAACATAAGATGAATGTACGATGGCATCAAGAAGGCTCTAGGACCTAGCTGTTCAGAGCAAGACGGTCCCCTACAATCCTCCACTGGGGAATTTATAACAAACAAAGGCTAGCAGATGGAGAGATGGCTAGAGCACTACTCCCACATCTACTTATCAGCCCTCATCAGCCCTGATGCGATCGCATGCCTTCTTGGAAGAACTCGACACAGAACTCACTGTTGTGACGGAATATCCCCGGACCTAGTCAAGCACTGCAAGACCTCCCTCCTTCTCCCTCTGCGCAAAATATACTTTGTCAGTGCTGGCAGGACATGAAGGACGCAAAACTCATCACTCTCTACAAGAATAACGAGTGAGAGAAGCGATTGCAACAACTACAGAGGCATCTCACTCCTCAGCATCGTTGGCAAAGTCTTGCTCGAGTCATCCTGAACAGCCTTCGAAAGCTGTCTATCCCGAGTCGAAGTGTGGTTTTCGTGCTGACAGGTCAACGGTGGACATGATTTTATTCCTCCTCCAATTCCAGGAAAAGTGCAGAGAACAACAGATGCCACTGTACATTGCTTTCATAGACCTCACCAAGCCCTTCGACTTGGTTAGTAGAGACGGCCTCTTCACGTTCCTCCCCAAGATCGGTTGCCCACCAAAACTGCAGAGCCTAATAGAATCATTCCATTGCGACATGAACGGAACAGTGCAGTTCAATGGCAGTTCTTCCGAGCCCTTTGATATACGCAGTGGCGTCAAACAAGGCTGCGTCCCTGCCCCCACACTCTTCAGGATCTTTTTTGCAATCATGCTAAAGCATACTTTTGGCACAGCAACAGAAGAAGTCTATATGCGAACCAGATCTTGCCCGCCTTAAAGCCAGAACTAAGGTTCGTGAAGACCTCGGAGACATGCTGTTCGCTGATGATGCAGCATTAAACATCCACACACAAGAAGAACTACAGTCGCTGATGTACAGATTCTCCCATGCCTGCAACGACTTCGTGCTGACCATCAGTCTGAAGAAGACCAATATTCTGGGGCAAGATACTGAAACACACCCATAGTCACCATTGATAACTACGAACTTGACGTCGTCCTTCAGTTCACATGCGACGGTTCCACCGTCACGGACAACCTCTCCTTGGACGTTGAGATCGACAAAAGGATAGGGAAGGCAGCAACACCACTCGCTTGTCTCACGGACAGAGTGTGGACAAACCCCAAATTGTCCGTGAAAGCCAAGATGGCAGTATACAGCGCCTGCGTCATCAGCGCACTGCTCAATGGAAGTGAAGCATGGACTACATATGCCAGACAGGAGAGAAGACTCAACACCTTCTACCTGAGAAGCCTTCGTCGAATTCTGGGCATATCATGGCAAGATAGAGTCACCAATACTGAGATCTTGTCCCGCGCCAATCAATGTATACCCTCATTAGGCAACGTAGAGTACGCTGGCTGGGCCATGTGCACCGCATGAAGCATGGTTGCATCCCAAAAGACAACCTCTATAGAGAATTGGCAACTGGGAAGAGACGCGTTGGTCGTCCTAAACTCCTATTCAAGGATGTGTGCAAGAGAGACATGAAAAGCCCTCGACGTTCATTCGAAGTCCTGGGGGGGGGGGGGGGGGGAAATTGCGAGTGACCGCTTAAAGTGGTGGAGCACCCTGAACCACTACCTCGAGTCAGGGGAAGAAAAACTGCGTACTAAAGCGGCAGCACGCAGGAAGGAGAGCAACAACGCCAACAGGGCAGACTCCGCCTATCGATGTGATTATTGCAACAAGGTTTGTCACTCCAGCATTGTCCTCTTCAGTCACATGAGATGCTACTCCAGTCGAGCAGTCAAACAGGGCTAGCATGCATCACCATGGTCAACACTGACCGACGGAGGCCTACTACTATAATATATGGTCAAAAACTTTGCTTCAAAAGTAAAACGTACTTTTACACATCGGTATTGTATACGTGACGAAGAAGTTTAAAATTCATTGAGCATAAAGAATTCGGATTTTGACAGTGCACGGAAAGGTTGCAGTAGAAATGAAAAACTGAATCATTAAAAGATGAAATGAGGTTCTATATTGAAAAACATCAGCATATTTAGAGAACAAACTCTATTAAAACTGTGAAAAATTTTTTTTCACTTTTCACTAATAAATTTGTAGTGCTGAACAAAGAAAAGAAGAAAACAATATAATCATTTTACGCAGTATACACCTTTTCAGTTGCACTTAGGCCTCGATAGCAAGTTAATTATTCTTTTGAATTTGACAAATGAGACTATTCATATCAATGTTTTTGATTGCTCACATTCCTACAAATTCAAAAGAATATTTAACACGCTGTCGAGGCCTAAGAGCAACTGAAAAGGTGTATTGAGTGGTTGTATTCTAGAATCGACATTAAACATCTTACCTTTCATAAAAAACGCGAAAAGAAACAAAGCCTGTGAAAGTTTTATAGCATAGTGAGTGTTGCTTCGTTCTGTTCAGGAATTTGAACCTACATAATTTTTCATGCCAATTCAGCAGTTATAAAACGCAATGATGCGATATATAAATAATGATAGAGCAATATGATTTGGTTCAGTATGAAAGCCTCAAAATAATACTTTGTTGGTGTAAATATTTATGCGTAGTTAATGTACTCTCTGCGTGAGTTTCTGAGTGTATAATTGTGTTAGTGCAGTTGAATGAGGCGATTTAGTCGATTTATGGATACTCTGAAGTTCCGAATAATCGTATATATACGCTTATTTATTTTGGCAAAATATTCCACTCTATACGGCCTTATTTGGGACTGTACGATTATTAATTTTCACAATTTTTTTCTCTGTGCCTACCTTAATTAGTTATTAACAATATCGTGAGAAAAAAAATTGAAAAAAGTTGCCAAAAAGACAGACTTTTTGTCTCTAAAACGAAAACAAAACCGCGAACGAACAGCAAACTAAGAGCACAAATCATCTGGTCAGCGGATTTGATCACAGGGGAAACTAAAATAAAAATAAAAATAAAGTCTTTTGTTTTGAGAGGGTAGCACGTAATAGTCCTTAGACTAATAAACTTGTGGCCCTCTATATATTCACTCATACTCACTACCTCAACATTCATTATTTTACTACACGACACTCCTCACAGCTAGTTTTTGACTGAGGGATGAAAACCAGCGGACCTGGAGAAAAACCCTCGGAGCAAGGAAGAGAACCAGCCTACAAACTCAAATCACATATAGTTCCGGACCGGGAATCGAACCAGGACCACAGTGGTGATAGACCGGCGTTTTAACCGCTCGGCCATCCTTGCTCCCCTGGGGAGAAGTCAGCGGTTTTGCCAAAAAAATGCGGGAAAACTGCCAGTACTGCCGTTTTTTCCACCCTATACTATTATTCCGATCTATACTATTATTGGTCAATTTGTATTTTTCCACTCTATACTATTATTATGCTCTATATGATTATTCGGAACTTCAGAGTAGCACTATTCAGTTTCAAAAATCAGCTGCAAAATGTGTTTAAGCTTGAAATATGCTTTTGTATTATGTCTTTGATATACATATTATCCATATTGGTCATTGTTGGATAATTATTTCGAACTTAAGGGCATACGCAAGATATACCATTTTTGAGCTATCAGATATTCATCATACATAAGATTTGAATCATACATACAAAAAATGACGTCATCTTAGTCAATTTTTCGGAGACATGTACGGGAAAGTGTGGAATTTAATAGATCAAAACCTTCATGGGTCGCCCATTGGTTTGCAAACAAGTTGACATGCAAGTTTGCGTGAGACTGGCACTTGATGACGTAAGGTCTTACATGCAACACTGAACTTGTGACACTTGTGATTAAAATTAACAATGAAAATCAACGAAATTATTTACAAGCATAATTAAATAAGTTATTAATAAGAATTAATAAGCAACGAAGTTTCGTGATCTAAATATTCTAACTGAATACATGACTTATCGAGTTTTCTGTTTAGAAACATTATTGCCATTTTAAGTTTTAATTATTGCGGGACACCTGTGCTTTATATACCGAGAGAAACTAGTAACTAATTTCCAAAATGGCGGACGAATCGTTTGCAGATGTTTTAGTGAAAAGTCAAAATCAATGAGGAAAATTTGATTATTTTTGAGAAGATACTGAACTGATTGTGATGGAGGACATCAGCGTATTTATGATGGATCCTGCACATGTGGATTTTGATGTCTATGCGTTGTGGCTGAAAGGTTTATCTGGTAATAACATAATTAGCTAACTTCCTACATAATTTGTACACTAAATTGTTGTCGTCGGAGTCCATACACCAGAGTCAAGCCGGGAGAGTAGTCTTATTTCCGCCTTATGTTCAGGGTGGTTCGTGCTACTTGAAAGGACCCGGAACTGAAAACTCAATGTTGCTTGTCGGCTTTTGGATTGAAATGTGGACGAAAATCGCCACTTGAAACGTCCGCAAACATCAAAAAATAAAGTAGTCCTTGAAAACCGCTTTTTTGCGCTTATAAAGTACTTAAAAAAGTCCATTAATTTTGTAATGAAAATGTAGTGAACCCTGCATGTATGCTGATATGCTTATATAACTTACATTTACATTGTAAGCTTGATATTTAGAAACAGAGGCTAGTAAGTTACGCATGGAAGATGAAAAGTTGATCAAATATGGTGCCACGTATAATGTTGTAGCAAGCGACACAAGTGATCACTACCGTTTATTTGACATGTTGGCTCATTTCATTCAAAATCCTGTTATGCTTAGCAAGCAGTTGATGGTTCAAGTCTCACCAGGCACACAAGACGAGTTAATTCAAAAGTAAGATTTATGCATGCCGGTCAATATTGAAACCCCGCTTATGCCCCAGTAAGGCATGGAGGGGGGTGTATATCAGTACTTCAAATAACTTGCTGGTTTTCAATCATTCCCACGAGATTCAAACAACACAAGACCATTGGCCATGTTGGAGGAATCAACAATAGATACTAATGAGAAATCCTTTATTGAGGTACCTCCAACATGGCCGCTATGATGTAGCCTGAAATCAAGCAAATTATAAAAATAACATTTAATTGAACATTTTCCAAAAAATATTTGGGGGCCACAGCTTCCATCCTCACTGCCCCACTGCCCCTGAAGGACTGGACTGTCCTGTGATACTGGTATAACAAGCTTGATTGACTGACCCTTGTGTAAAAAAAGGCCCCTCTTTCGTTCTATGGCTTTTGGCTCTGAAGAAGTAAGATCAGGTTTGTAATTGGTGGGTTTTTCATGTACATGTGTTCTTATGGGTTAAAAATGAAACATGTACATGATTGACGCTCTCAAGCTTATTTTCAGATAGGTCAAAGTAAATTCTGAAGTGTTATAATCACACTTAATTAAAACAACTTTACAAGCAACCACAGAGCATGGAATGGATTTTGTTTTTCTATTTTATCAGATACTATGAGTTTGACAAAGAGGTCATAAGAGAAATATTGGGAAAGAAACTTACAGGAAGACAGAGAAAAGACCTTGATGATGTGTGTGAAAAAACAAGAGTCTCCCTGAAAAGCTGTCGAAGACAGGTATATGTAGTAAATTGTTGTGTAAAAAGATAAATATAACACCGTAAAAAATAGGTAAATGACTTACAGACATTTCAGATGTTAATCCTTTGTTGGAGTAAAGAGAAATATTGGAATATTTACTCTGACGAAGGATTAATGTCCGAAACGTCAGTAAGTTGTTTCACCTATTTTTTAACGGTGTTAAATTTGTCTTTTTACAGAACGTCTCCTTTGAAACATCGATGCAGCACACACTAGTTTACTGCAGTTAGTTTCAATATAGAAATGAAAGAAAGTTATAGTGCTTAGAAAGGAGGCAATTCCGGGAGAAGTCCCTTAGGAATAAATTCGGAAAAATTAATTTCCGACCTCGCTGGGATTCGAACCCACGACCTTCGGATTTGTACTACTGATGCTCTACCAGCTGAGCTACAAGGCCAGACTGGGAGCAGGTCGGGGTGAAATTGATATTCATATTCATATCTTTACTGCTAGTTTCCACCATTTTGTGTTAGTAAATTAATAATATAATAATAATATAATCCTATTTATATAGCGCTTATCCAATTCTGTTCTAAGCGCTTTAAAACTACATGACAACTACAAAACACATGACAGTCTTGGTAKAYTGTGAGCTTGAGTTGGCGCCTCTGGCTGCCGCTGCACAGTCTGTCCCAAGATCTCAAACTAAAAATTAAAGTACAACAATCAGATTTACATCACAATAAACAAGTGTTTTTGCATGATGCCCGGTGGCTTAACCAAGCTCATTCGCGCTTTGACAGGTTTTGTTTTTAGTCCTGCTGGGTGTCATGCCACCCTCCTCACCAGTGTAGACTGGTGGGGGTGCCGGTTTAGACGCCGACGACCCGTCCATGAGGCAGGTTGTACTGGRTTAYAATGTTACCAGTAGCAGACTACATGTCTGACCTGACGTAAACAACAACAACAGTTATTGTAGGTTATGCCAATTTACGGTTATACAAGGAATATTTTAACTTTGACTAATAGTTCAAAATCATCAGTTGATATTTTCTGGCATTTTTCAGTTTGACAATGTCAAGAATGTGTTTAGAGCTATCGAAGAAAGTGAAGGAGGAAGTCTATCAGAAAATATCATGAAAATTTTTCTCCTATCAGAGGAACTAGCCAGGTATCTCACCTCATCTTGAAAACAATAGCAAAAGACGAATTATTAATCATTGTTCAGTAATATCTAATTAATTGATTAAAATTTTAGTATTTTGTTTGTTGTAAAAGTATGTTTTAAAACTATACAATCACCTGACATGTATTCTGAAATAAAAACCTGTTTTGAAATCCCTTTAGTATTTTTTTCTAGGATTTTGGGGTCCATTGAAGAAACATTTCCATTTATAAATACTTTAAAGACCTTTAAAAATATAATTAGTCTGCGAACTGGAGTAACATGTTTGTGGAGAAGAATTCCATGTTAATGACAAAAATGACAAGCTAAAAAGTATTACTGTGAGTGACAAGTTTCATTTCTTTATTTCCCTCTGTAGAGAATATGCAAGTATTGTATTTATGGCAACACACAGATTTGAAACAAGTAAAAAGAGGTTAGTCCTTTCACAATGTATAATGCGAGCAAAGATTTCCAGGTCATTTTTTTTTATACAAGATGAATCAGATGTTCCTACATGTGACTAAAGACATTTTAATTTATTGTTTTGTATCTACTAGATTGCTCTACTTGACATTTGATGACTTTTCATATTGCTGTGCACAAATGATAGAAAAATGGACGGTTGGGACTGATGAAAATGGATCAGGTAGTTTACAATGATTTTTTTACTATTTTTAATTGCATTAATACGATTCTTATACAATTAAATGTTGGAAGGTCAAGATGTTGGTGAAACTGGAGCTGAATTTGACAGGACATTTCTTCAAGACCTTAGGGACCTCAAAGTATTCATCAATGACAAAGAAATTGCTGAAGAACACAGAAAGTATGTCTTGATAGATGTGAATAGATAAGATTTCGTGTGGCTGTGCAACAGCACAGACCATGGCACCACCATGCAACCTTGCCATGGCTTTGTATGGTCTGGGCTCAAAAGTGCTATTTGTCTTATGCACAGACATATGAAATCATCTCTATATTCTCTTACCACTGTTTTTTTTATTTCTTTACCACCCCCTACCCTTTTGTTTCCCCTCCCCTCTTTGCATGATGCGTGACCAAAACTAATCATGGCTGTGTGGAGACTATCTGTTCTGTTGATACTATTTTGCAGCATTTATTTTTGCATTAATATTCTTATGTTCTCAGTCTAGTTTGTGGTGCCCTTTCCATGAAGGGAAAGACAAAACTTGCAAGAAATGTAGAATCTAATTTCAAAGTAAGTATTCTATCAAATGATAGAAAAGAAAAATACTTGTTTTAAAATTGGTAAATTATTTTCAAATAAACATAGACAATGCTGAATTCAGTGGAAAACACTTAAATCACATTGTACTGTACATTCTGCATTACAGTAGATTTTAGATTGGGCACGGCCATGTTTGGAATAAGTTAAGATTATAATTATCTTTTTTATCTTATAATTTAATACTAACTTTATTCCTTGCTTCACAGAATTTCTGCAGAGCTTTATTGAATATTGCAGCTGCATTAATACACAGCAAGGATATGAAGGATATATTTAATGATTTTGTAGAAAAGGTATGAAAAGATGGTTGTTTGGGGTTTTGTGTGAATCTCCTAAATACACTGTTGAGTGCATGCCACTAAATTGTGAAACAACTCTTAACTATTTTGCATCTATTTGACAGTCATCAACTTAAATAATTAAAAATTAACAAAGGCATAAAGCCAATGCCGCAGTGAGTTAGACCTTAGTTATTGCATGTATTATGCACTAAATAGTTGAGAATAATCTTAGTCATGATAGCATGTGCCATCTTGAAAGGTAGCCGTGCCTTTGAATTGAAACGAGACGACTGTTGAGTGTGCATAGACTGATACCCTTGAATAATTATGTAGGTGTGATTCTATGATTGCATGCGCAATGGTTGTCTTATTTCTATGCAAAGTTTTGGCTACCTTTCAAGATGGTGCAGGGAACCATGAGACTAATTGTTGTTTCACACTCTTGTGGTCTGCACTCTAATATCTGTCATGCTAGAAATAAAAAGTTAGTTTAACTGTCATTAATAATTTTTTAGTTCATTGAGCCTTGCAAACAAGTTGATTGGGAACAGGATGATGTTGAAGACTTCTTGACCACACTTGTCAGTACTTGCAGTCAATTAGAATCGTTGGGAAAGTGAGTGCTAAGTCTTTTATTATGTCTAGTGTTAAGGATGAAAATTAAACAATATATTGACTTGTACATGTATAAAAAGGAAAATGTAGCTTTAAAAAATAATGAATTTTGAAAATATAAATAAATGTTTAAAGTACTACATGAAAGGAACATTGTCCATCTGACCATACCTTTCAAACTTTTTTTGTGTGCTTAGAAATACAAATACATTTGATAATAAAATTTAATATTTACTCTTTATATTGTATCCCTTTATGCTCTACAAGTGGAGATATTATACGATAATCTAACAATTCTTTGAATGGCAGTGTAGTAAATGGTAATAAGAGGTCAAGAATCCTGATAAATAATGATAAATAATATATCCTAAATAATATATATTACTGTCAATAATAGTGATTGCATTTCTGTTGTTTACACGTTCTTTACATTATATATTTTTTTATCAACAGAAATAACAATGAAAGGCTTTTGCCAGTTTATATCAGATATACCAGTGTGTGTCAGAAGTGTATAACAAGGATGTACCATACATAACACTGGGATAAAACTAATGAGAACTAATGGACCTGGTCCACTACAGAGTCATCCTGTTTGAGTCATGATGTGCCCTGGCAAGCCACAAAAAAGTCTAAAATTAAAATGTAGGCCTGGCTCATTTCATTATGTTTTTTATTATTGTATATATTACAATTTAAGACAAAAAATTAAAAGCTCTAAATTAAAATAAATGTAGAATCTTGATCTCTCATACAGGACTACACGAAGCGATGTTCAGTGTAATTTCAGAATGAGACGGTCTACAAATTATTTAAATCTGCAGTCATTATTCGTATTACCGCAGGAAGCCCATGTATGTGATCTTTGTTTGTCTAGTTTAGAATGAAAAACTAACTTTCAGGTGATAAAAAAACATTACAAGTATCATAAATGTGTAATGACAGGCAATTAGTCTCCTTCAAGGTTTCCAAAAGTCTCCTTGAAAAGGTAGCCGTCCCTTGCATTGAAATGAGACGACCGTTGAGCGTGCAATGAATAATTGTCTGTAGGTGTGAAAAAAGGTTCCTCTCATTGCATGCTCAATGGTTGTCTCACTTCAATGCATAGCATCTTCAATGCATAAGGCATGGCTACTTTTCAAAATGGCACAGGGAACCCTGAAGGGACTATGTGGGATTTTTTTGATATGTGAGTGAATTGCTTCAATAATTTTAGCAATTTGTGACTAAATTATTGTCTTATATATGAAAATGTTAATATAAATGAGAGGTCATGTGGCCATTAATATGTGGGATGTATGACTTTTTACAAAATAAATATCATTTCTACATGACTTTTGTTGATAATTTATAGGTGTGTGTGTTAATATTGTTTGGTTTATTTTAGAATATAAAATATTATAAAATTGATAAAATATTTTAAAACATAAATATTATTCAAGTTTCAAGTACGATAATTTCATTCCTACTGGTATTTCTACGTCATAACGTGTTTGTGTACATGGTTGCTATGACTATGAGTGAGATATGACGTATGATCATTGTGCAAGGTGTTATAAAAACATGGTGGATCGAAATTTGTTTTCTTCCCCCGTTCAAAACTATTAAGGAAATTGCCTTCAAAATTAAGCTTATTTATAGAAACTTTACTGGAATTTCAGGGATTTCAAGTTTGTAGGCTTTTTCGAGATTTGTTTAAACTTATCGAACGATTTCGAAGAACGTGAACGTCTTCGATGGGCTGTGGATCTTCAAGTCCTGGAGTGGTGAGTTCCACTTGTATTTATGTGATTTTGATGTCATTTCTTCATTACCTGAGGAAAGTAGTCAATACAAAAATAGATAAATGCATATATTTTAAAGTTCCTTCGGTAATAATGTCGAAATTGTCCCGAGCTCGCATGAATTTTCGCTTTCTCCACCGCCAAAAGCTGAAGGAAGAAGAAAAGACCGTTTCGCAGAGCAGGAGGCAACTAAATGCCAAGTTTAACAATATAAGCTTACTATGTTTAAAGTAAGCATTTCTAAGGACTAAAATTGGAAAGAATGGAACGGACAATAATTATATAATCTGTACTGATCATGCATGACCTAGAGGCCAGCTGTTATAGGGAGGTATAACCATGTCCCGTCTGCATTTCAAAACTGCCTATGTCACAATTTTAGGCTCAATTTTGTTGCTGTCCGTCTTGAACAAAGTTTTTAGGGCCAGTCCCGGGGGGGGGGGGGGGGGGTACT